ACTATCGTGCATTGTCGATTAGGATGGGCGGAGAACGGGGACAGCTGGATCTTACGTAAGCAGCTTGTTCAAGAAAACAATCTCCCAAGCCGATAGGACCCATGTAGTTAATGAAGTATGCAGGCAGGCGCGGTGCTCACGCATTCAACGACCCAAGCCAAGGGCACCGGAGAGATAACTTATCTGGGCCAGCACTAGGATTATTCACGTACCAGTGGAAGGATTCATGGGATGCCGGGATCACTTGGAGATCCAAGTAGATGTTTTTATCGCCGCAATTAGAATCTGCCATACTTGCGACTTTTCCTAAGCTTGGGGTGTGCCGATGACGTGTCATCGGTGCAGTATGCCTGGCATAGTGTAACTTGCCATGGAGTGCTTTATGCACACACATCAAAACACACACGAGTGGGATTATCCCTGCAGTGCTGCTGATGGGTGCCCCTGTCAGCGGCACCCCGTACTGCTTGGACGCTGTTACAGCGGGACGCAAAGGAGAATGGCCAGGAATTCGAAGCAAGGCGATGACATCGAAAAGACTGCAGCAGTGAGGTATGGCGTGCTGAATTGACCACGAGTTGCACCAGGATGACAATTGCGAGTGGCCCGTGCTTCTGTACCCCTCCCCCTCCCCTCTTGTTGTGGCGCCTTCCATCTCCTCTTCTCTCTCTTTTTCCTTTTTCTTTTCCTTTTCCGTTTTCTTTCCCTTTTTCCTCCCCCCCCATTTTTGTGCACTACCCGTCTTGTGGATTACAGGTTGCTCCTAACGAGGATTTCCCAGGAGGTTGGTGGAGCGAGATCACCGAGAGATTTCCCTGGCTCGAGCAGTGCCCGTCCCCCAGCAAACCCGCTCAAGCACTAATCGCGTGTATGAAGACGCAAACAATGGAGGTCGTCAGACAAGTATGGGAAACCGACCGATTCCCCAACTTCTTCGAGATGGTGGGATTCAGTGACCTGGCAAAACTGGCAATGGCATGGGATAGCAACCCCGATGGGTTCAAAGGGGAGGTTGAGCGTTTAGGGGCAGACTTAGAATGATTGAAAGGGGATTATGCCCGGGAGTGCGCCGATTTGGGTAGGCGGGAAGCTAGGATAGAGCAGATCTTCCTGAGCGCTTGGGGACTGAGCGACTCGCACCTGAGGGATCTTGTTCCAACCACACCAGCTCCCCCACCAGCTGCACCTGCACAACGAGCCCCGCCTCAGCCTAGCCAAGCGACAGGCTGCACACCGTTTGAACTCAATGAGGAGGAGATGGCCGAGATGCAACAAGCAATCGCCACTATCTCTGCGACAGTGCACCAGCCCTCGCAGAGGAGGGTTGCTGTCCCTAGGCCGGGACGATCGGCCTCCCCGTCCAGGCAATTCACGGCCTTTGCGCCATTAGCCTCGCATCGATGGGTAGAGCACACCTCGACCGGCTTCAATCACCGCGTATGGAAGTTCGACACGTACAATCACGTGGCACCAATCTCGGTAAAAGCCTTTCAATTCCTGGCCGGTCTTACAGACGATCAGGTTAGGAAATGTAGGACCCGGGCTTACACCGCACATATGAAATACTGTGGAAAATCGGTCAATCCTTTTTCGCCCAGTGACCTGGCCTTCCCACTGATGAGCTACGTGGACCCGGAGAAAATAGGGGACTCCAGCCCCGTCATGTGGCACAAAGCCATCAAGCAACCTCCAGCACGTGACCTTAGGAATCTTCGCAACGTCTGGAGTGTCGGGAGGCCGTACCTCAAGTGTAGTTGCAAGCAAGGAGATCAGGATAAGGACTGTCCCGGCGGCCCCCTGTGGGTCGACCACGCCATCTGGTACCTCTTAGCGCACACAGACTTCCTCTTTGCCACGCTATCGTCAATTAGAGTCAGGACATCGATGCTAGTCCATTACCTCAGGACCACGTGGCGGGAGGTTGTGACAGGCTGCATCACCTTCTTGTTCGTTAGAGAGATTATGATGGATTTCATCGAAGCACTGGAATAGGACCCGCAGCGCATAGCCGAAACGGTGATCAGGGATGAACGACTGTGGAGGTATCAGCTCCCACCGGCACTTGGCAGACTCCTCCTTCCGACGAGGATCCCGGACAGACCGAGGAGGGTCCTGCCACCCCCAGGGGCAGGAACCCAATCGCTCAGATTCCAGGACAGGGTAGGCTCAACTTCCAAATGGCCAACGGAGTGGCCGGTGATGTACCACCAGCAGTTGCGCAAGCACAGCCCGCGCAGCAGCAGGCTGTTCACACCACGACACATGCGGACCAGCAGCGGCAGCAGCCCATCTTGCAGCAAGCACAGCGATTGAAGGAGACTGCAGCTGATCTACCGGTAGTAGCGGCGAGTTGCGGCAGCGGCCACACCCCCCATGGGCAAGGAGGGACTCAGCCACTAAGCGGCAGCATCGCCCAACACGGAATTACGCAGGACGGACCTGAGCGGGCGGGAGCGGGGCAGCGATCTTCTCAGCGGGGCGGGCAGCCACCTATCCTCGCCACCCCAGTGTCGGCACGACCACTGCCAGCGCGGCTTCCGCAAACACGCGGAAAGAAGAGGGCTCCTGAGGATACCTCGGACATTGACTCGGTGCACTCTCAGCCGAACAAGAGGCAGAAGAAGAAGACCACCCACAGCAGGGGTATTCAAATACTGACACCATGATTGGACAGCACCACGTCCTCACTAATATAAATGGCTCCCCAAGATCCTCTGGCACCCTTATGTTAATTGTGCACGGATAGAATAGCACAATTAGGCGCACGGGCTCACCCCCGTAGCACAGGTTTGCAGCAGTATGGGAACTACGGCGGTGCACGCATCATAGTATAGGCACATAGGCGTACCTGCTAAGCATCTTGCATCGGGAAGGGAGCTCTATTCGTCATTCGGAATTAGTTAACCCCTGCAGGTATATATATGTGTAGAGGTGCCTGAATGGATAACATGGAACGCAGGCCTGAGTTTACAGATCCATTGACATCAAGTTGTTTTGTGGGGGGGAGGTCCAGGACTGCTTCTTTTGTCCCTATACGACGATATATATATATATATATATATATATATATATATATATATATATATATATATATATATATATATATATATATA